CAAAGTCTGTTCTCCTGTCCCTGTATTTCCAGTATCAGACAGCAATCAGCTTTTGATTTTGTGACATACCTTATCTAATTTTTTCAGGGGTACATTTGATTTTTAGATTTTAGGGGAATGCACAGACATCACCCCTTTCAGTAGATGAATATAAAAGCACCTCTCCAGTAGGGTCAGGTACCGTTAACATTTGGACTGGTACCAGTACCTGGAATTTGGTACGCTTGTGTGTGTGTCTTCGAGCGAATACAGTTGATTGCAGTAATGTTTTATTGGACATCAACCTCACATTCACGCGTGATGAAGAAAAGACTTGAAGCATAAATAAAGGCTACTCTTTTTTTCAGCTCGCTATTGCTCCGTGACTGACGAAACATTGACGTAATTCCACCATACCCTTAAATGAGTTGTGTTTAGTGCCAAACCCTACTCTCAGTGACAAACTTTCTACAGATACGACTCAGACATTTAAGGGGACATAAACATAAAATCACATTTTTTAACAGATGATGACTGTAACTATGCCCTCACTGATGGTGTGTGTCGAGTAAATAGGTGCTTTGGGGAAGGTTACCTTGCCTCCTCTCAGTGACATTTTGTGGACACACCTCTAAAGTGAAGCTGTTACTGGAGTGTTTTGCTCAGGCTGGAGCTGCTGCAGTCCACATCATGTTCAGTCCTTGCTGCCACAACAGATCTACACTGACACTCATCTCCCCATGGAAATTATGCAAAACACTTAAAGAGCACTGTAAAACAGTCCTGGAAACCATTAAAGGAAAGCTGTGAAACAGGCTGTATTATCTTAAAGGTAGGATCTGGAGGATTTTCAAATAAAACAAAATATAGACATATACAAATGAAATCCTGCTTAATCATCACCCATGGGCTTCTACTCATGTGTGGTGGTGACTCTGTTTGCAGAGTTCCTGCCCTTTAACTGTATTTTGATGTTTTTGTGAGCTCGGACCGCTTCTGGGCGGAGATTTCCCCAGCCAATGAGAGAGCGCAGGTGCCGTGCCCAAGCGTGTCCGAGCGTGCACCAGCACGAGCCTTGCCTGAACCTCTTCTGTGAAGCCTTCTTCCGTACCTCCGGGCTCCGTACACCCGGGGGAGTTGAGCCTGATAGGAGGGGCCAAATTTGAATGTGTGTTTACAAACAGCAACTGTAAAATCCTCCAGACCCTACCTTTAATACAGAGCTCTCTAGCCACCATGCAAACTGTATTTTGTTAACAGTCTCAGTGTGGACCTGTTTTATTTTAAATATTGTGCAGCTATATCACAGAGGAAGATATAAATCAGTTTGGTACTTGATATTTACTTAAATTAACATTAAATAACTTTAAATAAGGCTCCTTTTATGAATTTTCCCCATTTTTGTGCCAGTCTGGTTTTAGATCCATCATCTCCAGCTTTAAAACATAATGTTACCCATCAGGGAGCACTACCAACAGTAAATATTCAGTAATATTTTCCTGCATAATGAAGGCTCACATGCTCCACAAAGGGACACACACTCCTCTGAGACTAATGCTTCAGAGCTCAGCAATAAGGATTGCCCGATTGCCCGGGGCAAGTAAAACTCACGGTCGGGCATGTAAACTAACAACTCACTTGCCCGATCGGGCAAGTTGCTAAAAATAGTAAAAGTTAATAACTAATTGATAAAATAAATGTATTTTAAAACATGCTCTTCTGCTCTGATGCAGCAGTCTCTCTGCCTGAAGTCACAGGCACAGCTGTGTAACAATGTCCTTCCCACAGCCCCCATTGATATTATTTTGCGCGACGGACGCTTCATATAATAACATAACAATATACTATTTATGGTGTTATGCCATCGTGTCATTTCTGTCTCTACATGGTCACGCGTTAACAATTCTCCTCTGCTCTCTGTATCGTGCATGGCGGAGTTCCGCCACACACACAGGTGATCACGCTAGAGTGGCTCGGGCCGCATTTTCCTGACCAAACCTGACCCCGAGCCCGGTGCAGTTTGTCAGCTGACAAAGTTATTGAAATGGACAGTGTGTAAATAACCAACAGACTGCTGTTACGCACAGACAAACACGCTGCTCGCACAGCAGCTCAGCACGGCACTCATGCTGAGCTTGTGTTGCGTTCAGGCGTTGTCACGTAAATAACAACTTCCGACACTTAAATAGGTCATAGCACAAAACAGCAGCATGTCAAGTGACTTTTTCCTTTATTATATTCAATAAAATTGTATGTTCCTAAATCTTGAGACTCCTCATATGTAAGCTAGACAGACATTTCACCTGCTCATTACTGTGCACACATGTACTGTATGTACAGTACAGGCCAAAAGTTTGGACACACCTTCTCATTCAATGCGTTTTCTTTATTTTCATGACTATTTACATTGTAGATTCTCACTGAAGGCATCAAAACTGAATGAACACATGTGGAGTTATGTACTTAACAAAAAAAGGTGAAATAACTGAAAACATGTTTTATATTCTAGTTTCTTCAAAATAGCCACCCTTTGCTCTGATTACTGCTTTGCACACTCTTGGCATTCTCTCCATGAGCTTCAAGAGGTAGTCACCTGAAATGGTTTCCACTTCACAGGTGTGCCCTTATCAGGGTTAATTAGTGGAATTTCTTGCTTTATCAATGGGGTTGGGACCATCAGTTGTGTTGTGCAGAAGTCAGGTTAATACACAGCCGACAGCCCTATTGGACAACTGTTAAAATTCATATTATGGCAAGAACCAATCAGCTAACTAAAGAAAAACGAGTGGCCATCATTACTTTAAGAAATGAAGGTCAGTCAGTCCGGAAAATTGCAAAAACTTTAAATGTGTCCCCAAGTGGAGTCGCAAAAACCATCAAGCGCTACAACGAAACTGGCACACATGAGGACCGACCCAGGAAAGGAAGACCAAGAGTCACCTCTGCTTCTGAGGATAAGTTCATCCGAGTCACCAGCCTCAGAAATGGCAAGTTAACAGCAGCTCAGATCAGAGACCAGATGAATGCCACACAGAGTTCTAGCAGCAGACCCATCTCTAGAACAACTGTTAAGAGGAGACTGCGCCAATCAGGCCTTCATGGTCAAATAGCTGCTAGGAAACCACTGCTAAGGAGAGGCAACAAGCAGAAGAGATTTGTTTGGGCCAAGAAACACAAGGAATGGACATTAGACCAGTGGAAATCTGTGCTTTGGTCTGATGAGTCCAAATTTGAGATCTTTGGTTCCAACCGCCGTGTCTTTGTGAGACGCAGAAAAGGTGAACGGATGGATTCCACATGCCTGGTTCCCACTGTGAAGCATGGAGGAGGAGGTGTGATGGTGTGGGGGTGTTTTGCTGGTGACACTGTTGGGGATTTATTCAAAATTGAAGGCACACTGAACCAGCATGGCTACCACAGCATCCTGCAGCGACATGCCATCCCATCCGGTTTGCGTTTAGTTGGACCATCATTTATTTTTCAACAGGACAATGACCCCAAACACACCTCCAGGCTGCGTAAGGGCTATTTGACCAAGAAGGAGAGTGATGGAGTGCTGCGGCAGATGACCTGGCCTCCACAGTCACCGGACCTGAACCCAATCCAGATGGTTTGGGGTGAGCTGGACCGCAGAGTGAAGGCAAAGGGGCCAACAAGTGCTAAACACCTCTGGGAACTCCTTCAAGACTGTTTGGAAAACCATTTCAGGTGACTACCTCTTGAAGCTCATGGAGAGAATGCCAAGAGTGTGCAAAGCAGTAATCAGAGCAAAGGGTGGCTATTTTGAAGAAACTAGAATATAAAACATGTTTTCAGTTATTTCACCTTTTTTTGTTAAGTACATAACTCCACATGTGTTCATTCATAGTTTTGATGCCTTCAGTGAGAATCTACAATGTAAATAGTCATGAAAATAAAGAAAACGCATTGAATGAGAAGGTGTGTCCAAACTTTTGGCTTGTACTGTACATAGTCCTAAAGAGCCCTTCTGGTGCCAGTAGATACATAGAAACATCCCAGCAGGCTGTGCTTTGCAAGCATACAAAAAAGTTTCACGCATGTGAAAATTATTTTTCATGTGTGTGCTTCGCCTCCGCTGCTACAACTCCATCCTAGGGGAAACACTGCTGTGTGCGTTTTGTGCAACAGGTGGATGTGGTAGTCTACTGGTAGAGTAGAGAGAGAGCTAAGTAGCGTTGAAGTACAGTAGAGCAGGGCAGAGAGATGGAAGCAAAATATATTAAACCCGGTGTTAATACAGCAGAACTGGAGAGAGGGGTGAAAAATAAATAAAGGTGGGCATGGCTCAAGTAGGGTGCAAAATTATAGACGGAGAACGATTGACAAATTTTTTCACTTTAAGTCCTGACACTGTCATTTTTGTGTAGGAATTAAGCTACAATACATGACATATGTTGTTTTAATTAATAAATACAGTGTGAATAAAGATTACATAACATAAAAATAACTGCAGTCTTTGTTATTTGATAGCTACTTAAATTGAACAATTTTTATAGGGCAAGTAAAAACTGACTTCTGGCAAGTAGATCTCTGACCAACTTGCCCGACCAGGCAAGTGAAAAAAAACCTTAGCGTGGAACCCTGTGCTTACACTTGGATTGCGTATTTTCAGTGTGTGTCACTTGAATCCCTCACTTATGTGATAAGACTTTGTCAACAGCCACTGATAAGCTTTGTGTTAACATTGACAAGGCAAGTGGAAATAGGCTTTATTGTGGCTCGTGCTAAAGTGCATAAGCCTGTTTGAATATCAACCGTGCCTTCAGTGCAGTGGCACTTTATTTACTTACATTTACATAACAACAGATGTGTATGTTTTTCTTGTGTCTGCTTAGTTGCTTATTACATATATTTTACTCCAAATTTGACCCCCATGCCATAGAGAAGAAAAAACAAAGATTTTTTAAAATTTTATTTATTAATGTTTTTATCACTTTACATTACTAGAAGTACTGTGTCTTATACATTTGTTTGTGTCTATCTACCACTTTTTAACCTAGGAGAAGAAATGCAGGCATTCTGCCCAGTTTGGAGGACTTGCTCTTCTACACAGTCGCAGAAGGTCAAGAGACGATTCCTGCTCATAAATTTCTTACAGTAAGTCCTACAAACTCAGCTCAGTTTGATGTTTGATGCTAATGTCACAGCATTGATTAGTGCATTAACATCATGCTGTCTCCTCACTTTTTATTGTTTTCTTTTACATGGTTTCTATTCTGAGGTGTTTCTGAATACTCTTAATTTTAGGCACTTAAAGCCACTGGGCTTCGCAGTGGAGATCCAAGACTAAAGGAATGCATGGACACCCTCAAAGAGACTCTGAAGAACACAGCTGATGGAGTCACACTAGACAGGCACCTATTCAAGAAGTAAGGCATGTCGTATCTTGTCTGGGTGCTTTATCTCCATCATGTACACCAACCATAGTGGCAATTTGTATCATGTTTCCCATGAAATCTTCTATTCTTCAGCTTAAAAAAGCATTTTATACATTTGATAACCATATTTCTTTAATGAGCAAATTCAAACACGCTTGATTGTTTAAATTTGCAGATTGCATAAATGCAAAAATGTATTCATCAAAAAGCATTTAGGAAGCAATTCTCTTTTGTGTGACTTGTGCACCTCTATTGCAATACATTTAATGCATGAGATCCTTCTCTTCTTAAAGGGACAGTTCACCACAAATTCAAAAATAATTATTTTTCGTCTTACCTGTGGTGCTGTTTATCAGTCTAGATTGTTTTGGTTTGCTGAGTGTTGGCGATATCGGCCATAGTGATATCCGTCTTCTCTCCAATGTAATGGAACTAGATGGCACTCGGCTTGTGGTGCTCAAAGTGCCAAAAAATAAATAAATAAAAATAAAAATTAAAAAATCAGCAGCAATGTCTCTTTCCAGAAATCATGACCAGGTTACTCACGATAATTCACAGATGTTGTGAGCATGTATCAGCACTATCAGGCTTGTGCTCAAGGCAGAGTGAGATGTAAACATAACTATAATGTTAGAAAGCTTAGATATGCTAGGTTAGCTAGCAGTGGATGACCTATGACCATTGTTTGCTACAGTCTGTGGTTTGATCATCGATATAGTGATCGCTCATCACTATATGGACTCATGTTGGATCACACTGTATGGATAAGAAGCAGCTGATCAATATGTTTATGATGAAGCTTCTTCATCAGCCACTTTTATTAACATTCATAGAAGTTTGTCACACTTCAGGTTTGCAAACTTGGTTGGCAAACTTTTCCTCCAGTTGCATGCAGTCACAGTGTTTTAGCATGCTATTTGTGGTTTATTCGTCAGGTGTGTCCAGAGCAACATTGTCCTGCTCACTCAGGCCTTCCGCAAGAAGTTCGTCATCCCAGACTTCCAGTCCTTCACCTCCCATATTGATGAGCTGTATGAGAGTGCCAAAGATCTCTCTGGAGGACAGGTGTGCCCTTGGATCCATGACTCTTTTTTGTTTCTTCCAGTGCATCATCATAATGATTTAGCCCATACAGATTCATTACCAACAGTCTGGTTTCAGTCTGCAGTCAGCTGGTATCAAAAGTGTACATCAGTCCTTGATTACACTTCCAGAATGGAACCAGCAGCACTCTGATCTGATCTGATTGAAAACCACTGTATCAGCACATCTTACACTTGAAGGAAAAATCCACCCCAGAACATGTTACAAGGATGATACAGTAGTGGTGTTTCCAGTGGTGGTTGGCAAGCTGCTATATTCACACTTTGGTGCAGGATTCTGTCTTGTGTCAAGTCATTTTAGCTTCTGGCTACAAAAATGTTAAGACCTAAAAAAAGCAGTGCAGCACAGTTATGAAAATGAGAAATCATGGTGATGATTCTCAGATCACAAGAACCTCCCACAGTGAAACTCAGCTCTCAGCTGAAAAGCATCTGGTGACTCTATGTGAAAAGGAGGCAGCACATGGTCCTCCTGAAGCCAATAGAGGAATTTGTATCCACAGAGGAGGAGAGCCTTTTCACGGCAGACATTTTGACTCTTCAAAGCAGGAAAAGCACAGGTGGACTTAATAACATTACTTCCCATGGCTGCTTCCCATTAGATGAGCCAGTACCAGGGCATGCTCACTCAGTGACATGGCTTACTCTCACAATAATTGTATGGAACCATTGTTAATGTTATTAAATATGTGTGTGCTTTTCCTGCTTTAACAAATGTCTGCTGTGAAAAGGTTTTGTTAGCACATAACTAAACTGAGCCTACATCCACACGAAGCTGGCTAATTTAGAAAACTGTGAAAATGTCAGCTGTTGACACTAGTGTTTTCAGTTTATTTTCTTTAAAGGGATAGTTCGACATTTTGGCAAATTCGCCTATTGCCGTAATCCCTATAGTCATATGAGTAGGTACATTACCTTTAATTGTCAGTGTTTGCTGTTCTGAGATTGGTGGTGCAGAGCTGCCTGCTGTAATGGAGGTTAACGGTACAGGTTCCTCTCTCCCTCAAAACTAATCAAATACACCATCAAATGACTCCAAAACGCTCTAGTGGACAACTTGTAGCTTACACATTCACCACGCTATGAAATAATAATGTAATATTACGAGACATAGTTGTTTTGAAGCCAAATGCAGAGCCGGAACTACATTCCAGACATACAGTACTTGGTGGGTGGAGTGATTTCAAACAGCATATGTTTAGTGCTGTTACTCCCGTCATCAAAACAACAAGTTTGTTGAGAAGAAGCCAGAATATACAGAGGAAGAGTTACAGGTTTTGGAAGAAGAGAGAGCAAGAAGAGAGGCTGAGGCTGCCAAGCAACCAGGGGCTGAGGGGAGACCCAGAGCCGGTGGTGTAAATGTGGGGCTTACTGGCCACTTTATTAGGTACACCTGTGCAATATAAATATAGAGTATGCCTCAAAATAATCACCGGAACACAGGGAGAACATGCTAACTCCACACTCATAAATCACCACAACTCCTGAAGGAACAACAACATAAAATGTTCCCTAGCAGTCTGTTCATTCCCAACAATGAGAAGTAATGCCAGTCACTTCACTATATGCTCTGGGCATGCACTTATCCATAACATAACCACAACAACATTTGCATTTTAGCTGAGCAAAATACACAACGATTACTTACCACGTCTGCTCGTTTAGTGATCCCAACAGATGGTACGACAGTATCTTTCAAGAAAAGCATTTGAACCATTCCTGAGCTTCTGTGCTCCATCCTTTCAGTGTAGTCCTCCGGTAAAAAATGGCAGGAGCACACAAACATTTTCCGGACCATTTCCACAGTCGCGTGGGGGTCGATGTCCAGCACAAATAGCCATTGTTTCATCCTGTCCGTATTACTGGTTGGAACTACGTGAAACTTCACTTTGCTCCATGTCTTCGGCTTGTTACTGCAACCTTTTACAATACATGTGTAAACCATGATTTACAAAAACACTTGTAAACTTTCCTCAAACCTTCTGGTGTGTCCAGCTGACGATACTGCAAATGGCTACAAGCAATAACAATGGCACTGTCTCACCTGCACACTGTGTCACTCCGCCCAGTGGTTTACTCAAGAAAGTATTTCTGAGTATTTGCTTCATGTGTCGTAATGTTACTTAATTATACATTATTATTTCATGGCGTGGGGAATGTGCAAGCCATGTGTTGTCCACTAGAGCGTTTTGGAGTCATTTGATGGTGTATTTGATTAGTTTTGAGGGAGAGAGGGACCTGTACCGTTCACCTCCATTTCAGCAGGGAGCTCTGTCCCACCGATCTCAGAACAGCACGCACTGACAATTAAAGGTAATGTACCTACTCGTATGACTATAGGGATTACGGCAATAGGCAAATTTGCCAAAATGTTGAACTATCCCTTTAAGATCTCCATCCACACTGAAATGACCAAACAATAAAAGTAATGGCTTATTTATCCTCAGTGTTATACATGAATATAGACATGGTGGGAGCCTTCTGTCCATATTCTGCACTAATTTTGTTTGCATTTGTACACGTTTGCTGAAAGCTTACAGATACAGACAAAATGCAGCAGTACAGCAGGAGACTGTGGGGGCAGCATAGCGCAGTTCAAGAAGTAGTTCAACAGCACAAATTGGTAATGACAAAAAGTAAAAGTGAATAATGAGAAGAATTCTTCGTCCACATGTCGTGATGTAGTTAATGGCCTCACAGACCAATGCTGCCTACAACAAGGTATACAAGATATATTATTATGACCTCCTCCACTGTCGCCTTGTTCGTTGTCAGAAACTTTTGAAACTTTTCCAGCGCCATTTATTGGCAGTGTCTATGTCAACATAAAAGAAACATGGTAGCATGTGTGCAGCCATGGTCACAACGTTTGAAATTAACATACCTATTTTCATTCATAAAGGGAGTATATATGAGCCTCAAATCTCTTCATCCTTGTCCTCTTCCAACCAGCCAGGAGCTCAACTGTACATCACATCCAAAGAGAAAATTTGTTTTACATAGTTTTTCTTATTTCAGTTGTCAAATAACTGAATGAGTGTAAAATTGTATTGTGACCATGGTTCATATATGCCACTTGTTAATCAGGTAAATTATTATTATTTATTACGAAATCTCTGTTTTCAAGCATAAAATAACAGCTTTGTGTGGAGAAAAGTCCAACATGGAAAAGACACATTTTCAAATTAAGCCCTCCCTAGTGTGGATCTTCTGAAGCAAAGAATCACACCTCTTGGTGTTGTTGAAAGGCATCCTGGAAAATTCTGGAAATGACCTGCTGTAACAGTCTTCCTGGAAGGAGTTAAAAGGCTCAAAGTAAACAAACCACTTTGTCCTAAAGTAACTCCTTCTGATAAGAGTATCTGAGGGTGGATTTTTCCTCTCCGGTCAACAGATGAGGACTTCACCTGCCAGTTGTTACTGTGTGTTTCCAGTGGTGTTAGCTTTCCATTGAATCCTGAGCCTCAGCAGACGTCAGCATTGTAAGATGAACCGCTGCTGTGCCGACACTCTTTCAGCTGCCTCACCTTTCTTTCAGGTCGCAGACTACATTCCTCAGCTTGCCAAATTCAGCCCCGACATGTGGGCTGTCTCCCTGTGCACAGTGGACGGACAGAGGTGAGACAGAGTCTTGAGCAGGGCCAAGTATTAAAGGCACATTGTGATGTTTTTAATTCTTAGCACACTTTAATGTTCGTATGCAGTCTTTCAGTTCACATTATAATGGCAGCTTTGCGCTGTGTACATTCCTTTGTGAAATCACCTGAGTCCAGATTCCTGTCAGGTAAATAATTACCAAGTGGCATCCAGTGGTTTCAGTGAGGAATGCTAACAAACCAGGTCTGATTTATTTAACTGCAGTTTGAGAAACCATTCATCAGGTTTATTAATCAAATATTCAGTTTGTAACTGATAATTGAAATTCCCTGGAGTCTGTTTAATCTGGAGGGCTATTTAATTATTATTGATCCATAGATTGTGCTTTACCACAAATCCTCGGGTGGACAGAATAAAAGGAACATGTAGTCTAATTAACACTGTTTATAACGCTTACAATGCTCAAAGAAGTGTTGTATTTGCCAGTAAAGACAGAACTAGTACAATGAGACATTTTAAGGTGTTGTATAATGGTGCCAGCAGCTTGTTCTCTGATAGGCAGTTGTAAAATTCCATAAGTGTGTATATTTGTTATGTTTGTGTAACAGAGGAAGCCATAAAGATAACATGGTGCTGGACTGTGTTATCATGCTCTGTTGTTGAAGTTTATGGTTTCCCCTGAACTCACATTATTCCATGAAATGGCATCTTCTTAATAAGTATACTTTTTCCTATCTCTTTCATGTTTTAGTCTGTTCATGTTTCTCATTCTGAACGTTTGTTTCTAATCACTGGTGGTGCAGCTGTTTTGCGTGCATAGATAACTATTTATCTTTTGTCTTTTGTAGACACACAGTAGGAGACACCAAGGTCCCCTTCTGTCTGCAGTCCTGTGTCAAGCCTCTGAAGTATGCTGTGGCTGTTCATGACCACAGCACAGAGTATGTGCACAGTTTCATTGGGAAGGAGCCCAGTGGCCTGCGCTTTAATAAACTCTTCCTGAATGACGATGGTGAGCCTTTAGACTTTTCTTTTTCTCCTTTCTTCCATTAAAGGGGGATTCTTCTGTCTCTGGCACACTATTATTCCTCCTTGAAATATTGCAGTGGAGACCTGATGCTAGTTTGATAATGAAGAGTGTCCTGCTGAGGGCTTTAACTGTGTTTAGGAAGTTAATGTTTCCTATTTCAACAGCTGTGTGAAACTAAACGGTTTAAGTAAAGGTTTAAGTATTTGGATAATACTGTTTATGGGATAAATGATATTTATTGTGAGATTGTTAAATTTTATAGGCAGAGTTGTGGTTAGTTTGTTAGAGGAAATGTCTCAATCCCCACGCTGGCGCTTAAACTGCCATCAGCCATCTTGTCGTCATCATTGCATGTGGGAATTTAGCTTCTGTTCTGCCAGGACAGCCATGTGGTTGTTGTGTTGTGTAAGGGGATCACACACCAGTGAGAACATGTAGGTGATGTAAGTGCTGCATTTGAACTCTTAAGCTCTGAGGGAGGAAGGCTTCCTCTCATCTGGCTGTTAAATTGGCTCAGTGTTACTGGAACTTAAGAGGAAGAGAGCTCACTTCACAGGGCAACTTATGGAAATGGATGTTGACCACTATCCCTTGGTGTAAAGGTCTAGTGTGTAGCATTTTGTTGCATCTGGCAGGGAGGTTGCAGATTGCCACCGTCTGAAACTTCTCCCGTGTGCCAAGTGTGTAGGAGAACTACAGTGGCTGACAAAAAAACATGAGTGGCCCTATCTAGAGCCAGTGGTTTGTTTGTACGTTCTGGGCTACTGTAGGAACAACATGGCGGACTCTGTGGAAGAGGACCTTTTCCATGTGTAGATATAAACAGCTCATTCTAAGGTGGCTTTTTGCTTTAAATTATCATTATGGAGTTAATGTTGGTTAAACAATGTAATGGCTGTGGAATAATGTCACCACTGGGGTTTAGATTGGCTCCCTACAAGCCTCACTGTCATTGTGCAGTTCTGTCTGCCACTGGGTACAATCACCTGGGAAAACGAAGGCTGGATTAACAGCACGAAGGAAGTGCATCAACCACTGTGCAACCAAAACAGGAAGAGCATAGAGCTTTTGCTTTCCATGGTTGCTATCCCCAGTTGACAAAGAGTGTAAATCAAACTTCTTTGCAGTTACTGTTACTGTCCCCAGTCTCAGAAGTGGCAGACAGTTGAACAACTGAAGTTACTATGGAAAGCAAAATGCAGTGTGTCTTGTGTTGTTGCTAGTTGTGAGGAAAATGGAAAGAGATCCGGTTTCTTCGCAACAGCAGTGCCAACAGTGATACTACTCACAGACGCTAGGGGGTGGGGGGCTTGAAAAGTTTTTCTACTCTAATTCATTGGAGTACATTGTTCCCACCAGAATTTGTAGGTCTTGTAGGTGTGTGGTACAAAGCTCGACTTAGTTCATATCATAACAGTATCTCACAGAGATACTGCCAGGACAAGTTTCCACACATACTTTGTCAGCTTGCCAAGGAATTTACCTGCCAAAATCTACAATCTTATGAACATAAATACTTCGCTGTGCCATGTATCTATTCAGAACAAAACTATTGATTAAATACATTCTGTTGCTGTTTTGTATGTAAATATATTAATGTGTAGTATCTGCGAGTCAGTGTGTGCTCTACATGTAGTTGATTCTTAATGTTTGATCTGTCTATATACAGAACTTTAATCAAACATGACTTAATGTTTACACTTTGATCCTTTACAGCATGCTAACTGAGCACTTGCTCTTTTTGCAGATAAGCCCCACAACCCCATGGTGAATGCTGGCGCTATAGTTTGTACCTCACTGATAAAGGTAAAAGTAGCAACACTTTTTTCCCTCTGTTCATGTGTGTTTTTGTGTCCAGTTTGTGTCATATCCACTGAAACCTTAGCCATACAATTCCTCATATCAGTGAGCTGCTTTATCAAGTAAATAAATGAAGGTTAACATAAGTATTGATAGCAGATAAGATATGACTGTTTTAACAGTGGCCTTATTAACCTAAATCTGTTTAAACACAATTAAACCCTCTACAAAAAGACTCACAACAATGCAGTATTTTGCTGATTAACAACCTGTTCACACGTATCAGACCACTTCTGTGTGGTATTGTTACCTGGACTTTAGACTTCCCAGTGTGTTCAAGTATTTGTGACTCTTGACTCAGCTGGAATCATTTCTAGGTCACTCCCTCAGTCCACTGTCCTGTGTCTTGTTGTGGTGATTAAGACTTGTGCTAATCCTTCCTGAAGGCACTTAGCAGTCGCAGCACACACATTGTTAACGTCCCCGCTCAAAATAACCCAGACGGAGAGCCAGTCAAATGCAGGTGCACGCACACCAGCCCCAGTCTGCACATTAAGAGAGATAGGAAGTCAGATAATACCTCACAGCTCCTCCATCTTGTCACCAGAGCATGGTGTCACAGTGTTTTTCTCTCTGGTAACTCAGTGTGAAGACAGATGGACAGAGTTCAGAAATGAATCGCTCGTCATCTGTTAAATAAAATGCAGCTCACAAGGTCACTCATAACAAAGGAGAGATTAAACCTGGCTTGAATACCAGCTTTGTCACACTGGTAGTGTTAGATTTTAAATCTTCTTACAGCTGGTAATGATCACTCTCAGGTTTGATTTTTAATGCTTTAACCCTACCAGGCTGTCTTTTAGCACTCACACAGACAGTTACCTGCACAAGAGCTGTCTATAAATACTTTTTAAAGCTGCAAGACTGTATTGCAGAGGCTTTTTAATATCTTGAAATGAGCTTCTTTTTGCTTTATTGAATTATGGATTTTTGGCACATTCTCTGTTAATTGCTATAAATTCTCACCATCCAGGACTGTGATTGGGCTGTAGCTTTTTCTGGAGATGACCTTATGTTATGCCAAGTTTTTGTCCTTAGCACTTAGACTTTGAACTGAATTTTTATGACTAATGATATGAATCATCCTTGTTGCATTCTTATTGATGTTGTAAGAAAAAAATGTGTTACCAAAGCTTGGAGTTGTGACTATCAGATTTTATTTATTGTTTTGCTTGAGAGGAAGCAATCTAGAGAGGCAATGTAAGGAAATCCTTCATAAAGTAATTCAACTGTAGATGATGCCAAAACATCCTCCATGTACGCTGAAGCATGTGGCCTGTTTGATCCTGATTTGATTTTGGACCTCCTGTACTTAAAAGTAGCTCTGTTACCAGTCTCAGGATCTGGGACCTGTGTGTTTTCACTGTCCACATGTCTTTAAAATCCCATTCCCTTTTTTTTTTTTAAATTAAGTTTGTTCACCTGTGCTTGTTGTGCTTTATCACCGTGCAACTATAACTCTATTTAATTTAGATGTTATACAATAGCTTCTGCTGACAGTAATAATTCACTTAAATTTTCATTTATCTGCAATTGCTGCCTTTTAGGATTAAAGATTTTGCTGTTGTTATACCATGACAGCAAACCAATATGCAGTCACTTGAACTGGAGTGGATGAAGGTTGATAAAAACAAGGGAAGAAAGTAGTTGAACTGTTTAAATACCAGCAACTGCCCAGATCTATAAATCATGCCTTTTGTTGTGCATTTGAAAATAAAGGTTAAAATGGCATGTTTACAAAGTTGGTTCCATAAAGTTCATTTTTAAGCAAAGTACTACGCATTCCCTTTCTGTAATGCTGCTCAGCGTCATTTATGCTTGTAGGAAAAGAGAGTAATTAATATTCCATTGAAGAACTGTTAGAATAGTATAGACATCTTTTTGTTTTCTTTCTAATAAAACTAATGAAAAATGTGCAGGACAGGAAAAAAGCGAATGCCATTATGTGTCAATAAGCAGCTCAAATCTATGTATCCACTGAGACACTGAAACCATTTTCTACTTAAGTTTTTGGGACACTCAAGAGTATAGTTTTAAGATAAGATATACTTAATTGATCCCCAGATGGGAAATGCAAGTACGATAGTGCAAATACTGTACTATAATTGACTACTGAGGTAGTTTGAGGAAACATTGGACCTTTATTCCAAACTTTTGCTACCACTATTAAAAGCTGCCTACATTTGTATAAAACACAAACATCTAGTCTGTCTTTGCAGTGTTTAGATCTGATCAGTAACCAGTGATGTTTAGATGCTAACAGCCACTTCTTGCTGTGATTTTATTCTTAACATATTGTACAAGACAAAGCAGGCTCTGTCATCGAGTAAGCTTTGTTTCCGTTGTGTCGTCACACAACTGCTCAGTTATAAATGGGCTGATGTCACAAAACACTTCCAGGCATTACATTTGTAAAGCCAGTTAGAGTTTTGTGACCTCACAGTTGTCAAACAGAAGTAAAAAGACAGCAAAGTAAGAATAAAATGCATTACATTGTATTCTAAAATACACTTAAGTGATCAAGACAGCGGAGATTAAAAGAATAGTTCAATGTTTTGGGAAATACACTTTGCTTAGAAAGAAGACAGCAAGATGAGAAGATTGATATCAGTGTCATGCTACTGCTTTTAAGTTGTACTGATCAATATTCTTATGTCAGCAAGTACCTAATCACTGCCAGTAATGTTAAAGGATCGGGTGTTAGTGATAAACCCTTGTAGAATTATCCCGTCTCTGCAATTTTCCTCAGCTGGACATAGCAGTTTACCTTTTTGTAGCACATTGCTTTGATTTTATGGCCCAGAGCTTTACTGTTTACTGTTTTCCGCTCTTGTCAACATCACTTTTAGCTGCAGCAGGAAGAGTTTTGTTGTTGTTGTTGCATTCTAAGCACCAAACAGCAGACAGATTAAGTTAGCGACTAGCTAGTGAATGTCATGGGGCATTTAGCAGCTGAAGAGCCCGATATTTCGCTGAGGAGCTGATGGAGAGCGAAACAGAGCAAAAATAAGGGTGAATATGAAGCTAATATTTCTCATGTGGCCAGAATCAAATCTCCAAATAAATGCTAATGTTGCTACATAGGCCACTGTTTACATGCTGCTTACTCATTGGACACAGAAGTTTTATAATGTGTCAGTTTTGTGTCTATAGCTCGTTTCACTGGAACCAAGTGGCTAAAAAATAATTAATGCTGCCTTAAGAACAGAGCCAGAGTCCAGACATGTTTAGCTGGCTAAAAAAATGGAAGCGGGGGGAAAGCATAGATGTATAAAAATAACTAAACCTGTCAACAGTTTTACAGACACCTTTTCACAGTGGTGGTCTACGGGGAAAATGCTTTTTTGGCCACAGGGGATTTTTTTTTGGTGCAATACCACAAGTGGCCACAGGGGAAGAATTGAAAGCAAGGCTGAGCTGCATTTCTGGGGGCTCGGGGCCCTGAGGGCCTGGGGGAAAGGACTAACCAGGAATGTATTAATGCCAAATTTGAGGTATTAGGGGTTGCTGCTGTTTTTTATGTTGTCGTTCTTAGCAGTGAGCAGAGGTTACAGACATAATGGCACCAAACCTGACTCCCTCACCCTGATGACAAGACTACGAGAGGCAGCCCACAATCACTGTGCCAAGCCTTTGTTCATCAAGAAAAAGTTAAAACATGCTCCTCCTTCTAGAGAATTTAAAGAAATGCATTTTAATGCATTAATCAGTGGTGTGTTTTTGAATGTAGGATGGAGTCCAAGCTAGCCGTTTCCCCCTGCTTCAGTCTTTATGCTAAGCTAGCTAAACACGTCTGTCATGAGATAAATGTTGATCTTCTCATCTCACCCTTGGAAGTAAAGCACAAAAAAATGTTGAACTGATTCTTAAACATTGCTGGCAGTGATATGAGCAGGCTAAGAAGAAGCAGAAGAACATCCACTACTTTTAAATTGTCTATTTCAGGAAATATACTCGCTCTATTCTTTTAAATACCACGTAGTCCTGTGAGGTACCCCTACATACTCAGAAGCCTTACAGTAGCTGTACTTATGTGCTTGCAGTTGTCAAGTCAAATAAGTTCCCACCAGTTTCCTATTGATTTTTGATGCAGAGTGTATAAAACTATAGTGTGTGAATGGTTATATGTGCAGGTTACTCTTCCATCACACAGCAAACCTGTTAACCTGTTACTAAACTGCACAAATCTCATCGCAGAACTGATTCAAAGACAACCCCTCACATTTGCTGAGATGATCATTTGTGTCTGTGTCCATCGGCTCACCACGGTCATTAGTGTCTCAATGTGTTGTTTTTCTTTTTCTATACTGAACCACAAATGTCAAGCCTTTGGTCAGGTTGCCCAGTTAGCTTTTACCCTGGTGGGAAAACTATGGGATGGTTGCCGCAGCAGAATGCCCCAAACTGTTGTTACATGGTGCTTGAAGGCTACATGTTGTTGCTGTTTTTGTATGTTGTTGCATATTTTCCAGACTTAGGAACTGTGGGAAATAATGACTGCTGCTGCAGGTCAAATGACGTTGGTAATTTTTTCTTCCTTTTCCATATCTATCTCCTCGCACTCTCCCAATCCCCTGATCCCCCCTCCCCTCTTCTCTCTTTCTTCTCCAATCAGCTCAGTAGAATCCCCATTTAGAGACTCTTTAACACCTCCATCAATGTCACTTACTTTTTCTTCTGCACAGTAAAGTGTAGAATTTAAAACGTACTGTCAGTCACACATAAAGCATTCGCCTTTTTAAATGTAAAGTTAAAATCCTTTTCACCCCATCCAAGTCATAAACAGTTCAGTATTTTTTACATTTGTAATTAATGCTATAGCACTTTAAATGTGCATGCGTGTCCATTTTTCTTTTGCTGTGTTTTCTTTGGTGGAATAGGCAGCATCAATGAGCTCGATAAATGTACACTGAGCTACAAGCAGTGAATTTTATTCTGAGAGGAACACCACTCCTCCCTTCTTTTCCTTCCCTGCCCTCTGTTTTGGCTGACAGTCTCATTGCACATGACACATGTTGACCTACAGTAGACATACATCCTCACATACACACACACACCTGCATTATGGTAACCCATAATACCAACTTGCCTGTATACACCCACATGTACTTAATGTACAAACACATACACAGTCACGGCTGCTTCAGATTTAGAAAAATTGTGTCTTCTACTCTTTAGACTTGAAATAATATTGAATTCCTCATCAGGAATCAGTGAGCCAGCATAGTAAGATGTAATGGTGAGACATGTTTTTATTTAACTGGCTAAGCTCTGGTTATGCACATGTCTACTAAATCTCCCTTTTTAACTCAAAAAGACTTCCCCCTTTGTAACCTATTTGCAAACCAATCTTATTAATATCTTGTATGTACTTGTATAATTCTTGCCAAAGCTCATGTGATTTTTACATTTTGTTTGTAATAAATTCTGTTCACATCTTTTCTTATTCCGTAGAGATAATTTGTCAGCATTATCATTGTAGTATAATCTTTTATGATGCTGTGCTTGTCCTCTGCAACATCCCTTGATGAATGTATTGTACTAACTGCTTATTCTTTTGTTCTCTCCACAGCAAGGTGCAAGCAATGCAGAAAGATTTGATTATGTAAGTATGAGAAGTCAAAAGTATTCAGCTAACTTTCATGTACTTTGTGAAGAGTAGCCTTGTGAGGGGATATACGTCTAGATAATTAGAAACTTTATCTTTATTATTGTTTATTTGATTGATCTCTTTAGAGAGTCCAATAAAAGTCATTAGTTAAAACTAGTGATGAACTTACAATTATTTCTGAAATCTGCAGCTCCACTTGGCTTTACAGAGCTTTATAGTGAGTTTTAGCTCATTGTTTAGCTGTCCTGCCCGCAACTTTACTGTTTTAGTCCACTCTCACTGCTCACACAAAGTGAGTTTCCATCCACCACTTTTCATGCACATTGTAAATTTGCGCATAAAGAAAGCCTGAGTGAAAACGCCAAAAAATCCAGAAAGTCTCAAAATCTCACAAGTTTGGTAGAGGTAAATAAGTTGGTGTGTCAATATAAAGTAAATGTAAAAGTAAAAGCCCCAAACAGCAGACAGACACAGTTAGAGACTAACTGGTGAACATAATGGAGCATTAGCAGCTTAAGAGGCAGATATTTCCCTCTGGAGCTTGAAGAGACCAAAAACAGAGCTAAAAGAGAGTGATTGTCTTATATTCATCAGGTGGACTCAAACATGACTCTGAATGCTAATGTTCCTCTGTAACGACTGGATATGTGAACAAGCAACTGTTTGTTAACAGGCTCACCATATCAACTTAAAAGATGATGAGATGTTGGTGTTGTGTTCACAATGTATTTCTGCTACCAACAAGTTGCCAACATGTCAGTGAATGCTGGTTTAAAGATTATGCTCAAGGAAGATCCCTGAATACAATACAAGTATTAAATCTTTGCACCCTGATGTCACAGTTTAATTGATGTTTGTTGGTACATGTGATGTATCATTTCCTGTTAGTATAAAACCACTAACCGCAAAATCAGGATACTGTGATACTGTGTGTATTGTACATTCTGTTTACAATTGTTATGTTGTATGGAATTGGGACACAGCTATTTTTATGATGGGAAGGCCATCAACCAATGGTAGAATTTAACCTCATGGCATGAACCCCTGTTGATCAGTTTGTCATTCTGCTTTCCCTCCAGGTCATGAACTTTCTGAAAAATATGGCGGGAAACGAGTACGTGGGTTTTAGCAATGCCACGTGAGTCCCTCTAAATCATGAGTTTACATTATCAAGGTTCTTGTCTTTCACTCGCCAGGGGACCACATATAGCACACTCAGCTGCTACACTCTTTGGATTCAAACTTAGAAGCATGTTGAACCTCTAACCATTTCACAATCAGTCACATCACAGCAGGTGTCTTTAATCAGCTCTTAGATAATGTGCTCTAAACCCAATTGGGTCAGTGATGGTTTAAAAGCCTAAATCTAGAAGCTGAATCTGTGGCTTGTACAGCAAGAAAACAAATTGCCACATGTATCATCAGCATCATGAACAATAATGACTGGCAAACCAATTCTCACACGCTCGTGGTTGAATCCAGTCCAAAGTGTTGTATTTTTACTGCCAACACTTGTAAACTGTCCAAATGTGAAACTAAAGGCTATGCACACCCACATGGGTGTTTATGGGTGGCTGATTAGACTTCACCTAGTTTGATGTGGGGCAGAGCTGTACTATGAATTACAAAATGTCACCAAACTCCATGTACCTATTGGAATATAATAAAGGTGTTAGTTGACCCACCCTCACACATGCAACAAAGTCAGGAGAGACAGGGAGATATAGGTGAGTATATTTACATTCACACTAATATTCCACTATTATTCCGAACATAACAACATTCCAAATTTGATATGGGTCATTTTAACAGCATGTTCTGTTTGGATATTAGATCGGATATCACGCCTGTCTCACGCCTTTTTTCCAAATGTAGCATTTTATGATTAAGACATGCCGGATATGCCTGTAATGTATGGGTTTTAGGAACTTTTTGACATGTATACAGTGAATTCAGAAAAGGCATCTCAGCTAGAGTTTTACAGCAGTGTGCAGCACACAGCCTCTTATCTGTTTACAGTTGTCTCTGTGCATTGTCAGGGATGCCAACCATCTAGGCAACAGTTTGCAAGGCTGTGGTAAAGAGGCTTGCCCAAAAGAAAAGCTCGCATTTCTGACATGATAAATGTCACGTTAATCGGAGTATGCAGGGCTGCATGGAAACAGGAATATTACTGTAGTAAAATATTCATTTTCATTGGCCATGTGAACAGCCTAGTAAGACTATCGTCTTTTTCACCATAAGGGCAAAAATTAAATATTTTGTGCTGGTAAACATAGTCAATCAAAGACTGTACACACCCACACATTCCTGAGAAAAAGTTTTAACAGGAAAATTCAGTGTGTGTGTGTGTGTGTGTGTGTGTGTGTGTGTGTGTGTGTATACACCCTAACAGAAAGCAGTTTAACTTGTTTAACATGATGCCATATTTGATGTTTACTTGTTTCTAGATAAGAAGCTAAAATGTGAGTGACAATGAAGCCTTAAATGCTCAGGAGCTTTACCTCAGTTTAACTGAAATTAAGAAGAAAAGAATTAAACTTTTGACCTTATTACTCATATAGATGGAGTTAGTTTAGGGAATTAATTGGGATGGACTTATGGATCACGTTTGGATTCTTGACATCTGTGTCAAGGTCACATGCATGTGCGTGATTTATGATGACACCACACACTAACAATGTGTCAGGAAAAAGACCAAGTGCTGGGGCTTGTGTTGCAGTAGCATCACATGATTGCATGAGAGCTCTGGTTGTACTATACACATGAGGGGAGGGCGGGTGGAATTCCAACACACAAGTGCAAACATACCCACACACACACACACACACACAGTGCAACTATTTCCTTCCTCTATGTAATGGGAGTGCTCTGCTCTTTCTGTGACAGATTCCAGTCAGAGCGTGAGTCAGGAGACAGGAACTTTGCCATTGGCTACTACCTGAAAGAAAAAAAGGTTTGACCTTGGATGAGTCATAACTTTCTGCTGCTGTGGTTTTCTGTTGTTTCTCTATAGATTTTTCTCTGTCCTGCAAAGCTGAAAAGTAGTAACTGTAAGGATCAAACAGAATGAAAGAGGAAGAGGTGGAGTAATTTACTGCCAGAGGCCCAATAGAAAAAAAAATGCCTTTTTGTATTCCTCAGTTGATCATACTTGTCCTTTTAGTCAGCACCTGCCCATTTGGAATAATCTGACCTCTAATAAACAGTTATTAGACCTACTTTCACCAAAGCAGAAGTGTGGCTGTCTCTTTCTTAAGTGGAAGTGCAGCAACATGGAAATGTACTGTAGTTGATGAATGTTTATCTTCGTGCTCCAATTGTTTTAAACTCTGTGTTTCTCTGCAGTGTTTCCCAGAGGGAACAGACATGACATCTGTACTGGACTTCTACTTTCAAGTAAGTTTGGCTGTTTTTTTTTTCTGTATCAGTTTTACAACTTACCTTACAACACTACTGCTTCCACCCCTGAGGGTCAGAGATCCTTGATAGATCAAATTTCTGCTTCTCCCTCTGTCTTTCATCATGTTTACTTCCCTGTATGCTACAGATAGCTTCTTCACTATGTACAGATGGGGGGGGGCAATGAAAGGAAAAAAACAACATGAAATGTCTCTATTAAGGTGTTGTCCCACCATGAACCCCCAGAACAGCTACACTGCTCCTTGTCATTGATTCTCCAAGTGTCTGAAACTCTAAAGAAGGGATGAATACCACTCCTCTTATTTGTCTGTGTGTTTTTATTACTGTTTAGTCACCTCTACCATCACTGTACTGTCATTTTTACCTTCCCTATGTCACAATTGATTGATTGACCTTCACATTTTTGCTCTCCTGTTCCTTGACCGCCACGATCACATTTGCTGTGACACAAGAACGTGCTGTATGAATTGGAAGAAAAATTGTGATAGAGAAATGATACAAGTTGTCCTTTTTGTGGACCTCCAGCTGTGTTCCATTGAAGTGACCTGTGAGAGCGCCAGTGTCATGGCAGCCACCCTGGCTAACGGTGGCATCTGCCCAATCACAGGCGAACGTGTGTTAAGCCCCGAGGCAGTGAGGAACACTTTGAGTCTGATGCACTCCTGCGGCATGTACGACTTCTCAGGACAGTTTGCTTTCCATGTAAGTAAAAGGCACAGATGAGCACCTAAATAATTTTGGTTACTGTGATACCTTTGATGTATTAATCTTTGCGTATTTATACTTGTCAGCAGCATGCACTTTTGTCACCATCTTAGAGTGGCTGGTAGTTGTTCCTGACGATGAAATAAACTTGCCTGAATTAGAAACTAAAAAGTACACCATCCCAACAGTTATGTGGTCACAATCTTCATTCCAGACTATACTTGGGCCATACTGACTGCATGAGCAGGGCATGTGCATCGCGAAACCTCTTGTATTTTTTATTTTTATTTTTCCAGCACCTTTTAACAGGTTAGAGCAGTCACACTGCCCACATGAGCCGCGCTGCTTAGCCAAAGCTCGGATTATTCTAGAGAATAGGAGTCTTGCCTGTTTTTTTTCCGTGGGACTACGTGGTTTCAGCAAAAAAAAAAACACAGGGAAATTGGTCTTTTTATCAACATATTGACATTATACCACCTTTCACTATGGTTTCAATGTCTTTCTGTCATGGACATGAGAAAATATAAATGTTCTTAACTCAATCTTTCCTGTTTCCATACCAAAATAAACGCGCTCTGACAACAATTCAGTTGACAACCTCCCTTTGTTTCTTAATACAAGATATTTTAGTTTGAAATATTTGCATGACTGTGTTTTTGTAAATGCTGTGGCTTGCACGGCTCCTTAAATGGTTGAAGTACCAGTGTGTAATCATAGAAATACAGTACCCACAGCAGCAGGCGGCTCTCTAGCAGCACCACAGCAGCAACACTGTCTGTGTGAACACCACAAATATGCAAGCCACAGCAACTCAATGAGGTAGCCGTCATACATTGCTCACACAGGCAGTGTGGCCCAGGCATTAGAAACTATAACTACTAATTATTGTAAGTGTGGAATACGTTTAACTTGTGCACGTGTCACACCCTCCAGGTGATGCTCTTTGAGGTCAAGTGGAATAAAGCATCTATAACTCAATCAATCATTCATTTGTCATATGAAGTCATACAAGGTACAACTTTGGTGACGTTTGATCCTGTCAGTTGCTTCTGTTTCTTACTGCACTGGTTCCTATATTTACACAGTTGTGTAAACCATTTACTTTGGACAAAGACATTCTTTTTAGACAATCCACTGTAATCATTAGTTTGTAACGAATCCATTAAAAAGTACAATTGAACATCAGGACTTTACACATATGTTTAGCAATAGATTTTCAAATAGCTGGTCCAATGGCTGTCTTCTATATATGTGCTGGTTACTATTTGCAGTTGACTTGTAGCTTGAATGACCTCAGGACAAAATGTAATGACGACAGCAGCCAAACCAGGGCTTTCACTGAGGATTACCCCGTACCCATAACATTGTCAGTGTGTGTATGAGGCTCAGGCCACACACTGTATGTAGTGTCATTTGGTACATCTACTCTTGCCTCATTTCCACTGCATAATTCGGCTTGACTAAACTTACTATCGGTACCAGGTCCTTGTCTTTATTTTATTTTCTACTGCAGACAGTAACCCCTCAGTATAGGCCTGGCTTCTCAGCTTATGCCTAATGCGACGCCATGTGAATCTGCCATGACATCATCTTCAAGGCTACACTCGCTCACTTGAACCTTGTTCCCAGCAGTCCAGTTCAGTTTGTTCAACATCAGAGCGGTTATTTTTGTGTTTCCATTGTCAAATGATGGCACCAACAAAACCACTCCATTCCATCCTGTTTTTGTTCGCCCTCTGTCAAGGTACCTAACACACAAATCTGATACTAAAATTGGATCTGTAAAACGGGAGCTAGAAACACTGCAATTGTCAGTCTTGCTCTAGAGGGACTGAATGCACAAGCCGGCTATTTTTTTAATATCCCATCAGTAGCAACAGAGAATCTTACCACTTTGACCTATTCTTTTTTCTTCCTAAAATGTCGATATGCAACCGTGTTCCATGGACGATCAACAATGTATAACCCAGCCTACATTTAAGAGTGCTGTCTGCAGAAGAAATACAAAACAGATCTAGAGTTAAGGTACATATCCATATGAGTTATGTATCGGTAAGGATGTTTGATGGACTGTACTATCCGTAGCTTTTGCCACTGGAAAACCAAAAAAAAGTTGTGTGGAGCCGTGCTGTACCATGCAGTGAAAATGCTGCATACTGTAAGTCTTCCTCTTTGACCAACACTGAAACAATCTGAAATGCTGGAGAAAGATGTATCCATATTATAAAACTGTTACATTTTGGTACAGGCATATATGCTTGTATTAAGAGACAAAACACCTAAGCCTCAGCTTAGCATAGCTGTCATATCACATGGTCTCCCTGAGCTGAGGTGTTTGTGCTGAAAGGATGGCACATTTTAATGAGACACGTCCTGGTGGCAGAAAAATGTAGAGAGAAGAAGCAATGTGTGAAAATATTCTTCAGCTTTTCATGATTTATAAGTATTTACAGCATCAAAGTGGAAATCTCCTCTTCACTGATCATTTCTTATAGCATATTCTGTTTCAGTTAATGTGAGTTTTGGAAATGATTTATCCACATCCTTAATTTTAAAAACAAATAAAGGAAAGGAACAAACAAATGAATACTCATAGAAAGAAATATCTAAAGATTCTTCAGTGTAATAAGACAGAAGAGTGGATAGATTTCTCTAACTGATGATTTATCGTAGCTGTGTTGACTTGTTCTTTGCTGACTTTCCATTTTCAGCATCATGCTGTTGTAACTGTAGATACACACAGATGATCATCTGTTATGTAACTGTTCTCCCTGTTGTAGGTCGGCCTGCCAGCCAAGTCTGGAGTATCGGGAGGGATCCTGCTGGTTGTACCAAACGTGATGGGTATTATGTGCTGGTCACCTCCTCTAGACAAGCTGGGCAACTCAGTCAGAGGAATACAGTTCTGCACGGTATGTAATGTCTGGCGGTGGAGGAACAGATCACTGCATGCCTGCAGTGTTTACTAAGAATACATATTCATAGCCAGAGCAAGAAATAACTTCACCAGCATCTCTTAGGCCTTTGGGTGTTTTTTACAGACCAGGGCTAAAAATTTCAGCAGCATTAATGTTTTAAGAGCAGGAAATGTATTGTTTGTATCCATTCTTGACCAGAGATGAGAAATAGCTTGACATGAGGCAGGCGCTATTTAGTGCCAAAAACATTTCATTTCATTTTATTTCATTTATTTATGTTACTCAAGGCCATGATGACATGGTATTGAGCACAAACATAACATGTATTAAGTACATTTAGGCCCGTTTCCACTGAAGAAGTTCCTGGTACTATTTGAGGGGCAGGAACTACTACAGGAACGTCCTCTCGCTCGGCCCTCTCAACCGCCGTGTCTCCACTGAGAGAGCGGAGTACGAGGAAGGTTCCTGTAAAGTTACGGGCTCTGGATGTGACGTAATCGTTGCGCGACCATTTTGGCCGGGGGACTTAGGGACGCCGTTAGCCGATAGCGGTGTCTGTAATAACTCACTAAATGGCCCGTGAAGAAAATATTTTTTTCCAGTAGATGTCTTAGTTACAACATGATTTAGCTAACTGGAGTAGTTTCATGTCGTATCCGACAACGGGAGGCTTTTAACAGATGACGTCCTGATGTTAGCTTTGCTGCTGCTGTTAGCTGATGCCTTCTAGACATCGTGACTTCCCATAACTGAATAAATACCACACATATCAACACAAAACTGCTTTGCTAGCTCAATCATGTTGTAACTAAGATATCCGCTGGAAAAAATATTTTTTTCACAGGCCATTTAGTGAGTTTTTTTTAGATGGTGGCAGAAGCTATATGAACGAGCTAACCCTCATCTGCTGAGTTTTAAAAATGCCGGCTATTTTGTTGCTTTCTGTTGTCGTCACATCCCTCCTTGAGTATATCCAGTCAGCACCAAGTAATCCCCAAGCCCCAGCCAGGAGTCTTTCGGGGCCGTTCTGAGTACCTACCCCGAGGAGGGTCTTGTTTAGCCCCTGTAAAAGTTCCGGAACTCTGTCCTTCGGGGGTGGTTCCTGCGGTGGAGACACGCACCAACGGCCCCGGCCCCGTAAAATTACCCCGAAGTTCCTGCGGTGGAAACGGGCCTTTTGACTGCACCGAGTGACTAAGTCATTTGACAGTACCATGTTGTTATTGCATAACACATATACACACATATTAACATTAAACAAAATTTAATTTTAGACATGCAGTATTTAAAGGTTCAGTTACAATTTTGATTTTGGTAATATAGATTTAAGATTATTAGTGAATAGCATAGTAGATACATATTGTCTAATCAGTCAAAAATCAGCATTTTAGGTTTCTCTAAACCAAACAAACATGTAGACCTGTTTTACTGTTTTTAGTTATTGTTAATTTGAATAAATGTCCTTTGGAATATGAATTACTTGAGTAATTTTACCTAAATTTATTTTTATACTTTTTATTATATATTCATGGTGCTTTAAGGAAATAATTGTCAACAAACAGTCACAGACACAAAAATGCCCCTTAAAAGAATGGGAAATTGTGCAACAGTGTCCTTGGGGTACTAATTTAACTTGGCAGGCATACTTACAGTGACCGAACCTGTTTAATAAGTAAGTGATACCTCATTAATGATCACCAAGGGGACAGGCCCAGACACAGAGCTCAGTAAGCGCTGCACGCAAGAATCCGCCTCTCTAGGAAACAATCTCATGTGCTTTGTGAATGTATATAACACTGAAATCATTGACTTTTTAACTTCCAGTCATCAGAATGAAATGTCTTATTGAACAGTGTCAAGTAAATAGAGTTATTTACCCTTCTGTTTTTATCTATCTCTCTTTTCCTTCCAGGACCTCGTGGAGCTTTTCAACTTCCACAACTACGACAACCTGAGGCACTTTGCCAAGAAGCACGACCCTCGCAGAGAAGGAGGGGACCAGCGGGTAAGGACACACAGCATCATGTTATGAGGAAAAAAACCATCTGTAAAACAGCAACCATTTCCTCCATCAAACACACTGGCCAGAACACCTTCTCACCAAGAATGCGGGTGCTGCTGAGGTTACTGTTGTTCAGATTTCACAGCTGTTATCGTTCTGCATCAGCTGTTTTGTTGCCATTGAGCCTTTCAGAGAAAAGGCACACTTAATTTAAAACAAAAAAAAAAAAAAAAAAAAACGAGCAAAACAGGATAACACGTCCCCTTTCTTCTTTGGATGATCTATTTCTCTTTGCATTCTTGTTGGGATCGCTGCAGAGCATTTCAGGCATACTGAGCATTTCTTTCTAGTTTGGTCACTGGATATGTTAAGTTTGGTTCCACAATGTATATAAGCAGCCAAATGATACACATATTTTATACCTCAGACTGTGGTATCTCAGCTAACCTTAACAAAAGTATGGCAAAAATGCATGGAGGCCCATAAAATGAAAAACTAGATCCAGAGTCTGTTTGCTTTGAAAATCTGCCTAGGGCAGACACCTGCCCAGTGTCACCTTAAAATAATGAAATTAGCTGTTTTTGGCTCTGGTATTTCAAAAGATGTTTCAGTGAACCACATGCCACTTACACAGTACACATACATACACACACACACACACACACACACAAAAACACAAGAAGGAGACTAATTTGTTATTCGTGTCAATTGAAACAGCAGCTCTCCTTCGGACCAATGGATTACGAGAGCCTCCAGCAAGAGCTAGCTCTGAAAGCCCCTCTATGGAAAAAGGTGTCTCCTACTGAGTCGCACCAGGACAGCTCCACCACTGTAGTCTATAGGATGGACAATGTCGCCGAGTGAAAATTGAAAAAAAAAAAAAAAAAAAGTACTTATCCCCCACCAACCCCCATCTCAACTGATCTGTCTCCCCACCACTCACAACGACACCACCACCTTTCCTCACCCTTGAATATTTATACATAAATTATGTAGAGGATTATTTATTGCTTGTGAAGCAGTTACTGTGTGGACGGACTTGGAAGCCTCTTGTTTTTATTTGTTATGGAAAAATGAGATCAGTTACTGCCTGTTAATTTTGCTCTGAATTCCAAATGAACTCTAAAGTCCAAAACACACCGCTGTTAAATGGTGCACGTCAAAGAAGCTACCCCAATTATTTTCTATGTAAAGCCCCACACCGGTGGCTAGGCGTAGGTCAGCGCTTATGGATGCATCGCCCTGTGACACTTCACAACTCTGTCCCACTTCCAGCCTTGCTGCCCATAAAAAAATACGCTCACTTCCTGCTTGTACATCCCATCTTTATAAAGACAGCAGCAAAAATGATATTGCCTGATAGGCCACAGGTCTGGAGAGTGGCTCTTCAGGTGAAAGATCAAGTTTAATCAGTGGGTGTGCACACATGACTTAAAGGTAAACACTACAGATCTTTTACTGAAAGTAGTAATAACTGTGGTTGGTGTTGACATGCTACAGAGCGATGCTTCCTATTGGTGCTACGGGTGCCACTTGATGCCCTTCATATGATGCAGTGCTGGAGCGGCAGTGTGTTTTCAGCTTAAGCTTCCTCCTGCTTCTTGCCTCAGTGTGTGTGTGCAGGATCTGGTGGACAGTATACAGGTTGTGCTCCTCTGTCATCTCACTACCTGTATTGCAATATGTTTTCTTTTTTGACAGAATCCTCTTGAAAAATGTAAGATAAGGGTTGATTTGAAATTCAGTTATATTTTAATCATCAGGAAAAATGTGTGAGTGTGTTTGCATGTGTGGAGCTTCAGCACAGCCAGCTTTCAGACCAACAGTCTTAAAATCTACATTCAGTACTTTGTAGTGATGATTGCTTTCCGTAGCTCATGCTGAGGCCTTAGACTCTGGTATTAGTACATCAATACAGATGCTAGATGTGTTGTAATATGATGAGCATATCAGTATAACGGGATGCATTAAAAGATTATTGAAGGAAAGTTTTGGGTGGAAGAAGTCATAAAAGTTAGCTGTAAATGCCTGGGCTGGCATGCAGCAGTGTTGTAGCTAACATGATGTAGTTTGTCATTAAAAAAAAAAAAAAAGATGTGAATTCTGAAGAGTTTTTAAATATACAACTATTATGCTTTTCCAATATCCACATGCTTGACCTTGAAAGGAAAAATCAACCCCAAAGCTTAAAGCTTATCTGAGTCACTATCACAGTAGTGCAGTTTCTCAGCCTTCTGGTCAAGACACAGACAAAGAACCAAGGAGCTGGTTACAAACAGATAGCCTCTGATCCTCTTTAGAAGTTTATTGCTAAAGTAGGAATTTTTCCCCCCCATTACTTCACCGTAACCTGTCTGTATTAGTGCCTGGACCACAGTTGGGGCTGATTTTTCTGATAGTGATGTGGGTGTGGGGAAAGAGGTGTGCTCAGGAGAGAGGTGAGATGACTAAAACAACAGCCTGTTTTCAAGGCTCTTTGTGGAGACTCACTCAACTTGATTGTCCTCATTCACCTGCCAGCGCTCTCGCTGGACTGGCTGCATCCTTCTTAGCTGCTGTTGAGTTTAGATGGTGTGTGTTTGTGTTTGTGTGTGCGTTTGTGCGTGTGTGTGTGTGTGTGTGTGTGTGTGTGTGTGTGTGTGCGCACGCGTATGTGGCTGCCATGTTGTGAGTGTACTCAGTATGACGCAGGCAGAGGGAAGGTGTGTGTTCAATACTGCGACCTCCAGTTGAAGCCCCTTGGAGTCTGCTTGTGTCTGACCTGTCCTAATAAAGCCTGTGAAGGCAGAATGAGTAGGATTTGTCTGTTGAAGTTTATAAACACAACATTCAAAGTTGGCCCTTCCTCCCTGGCTCAACGTCATGCTTATGATCTGGCACCTGTTCGCTTTGTTTTCACAGTCTTGCCCTAACACCCTGCAAGCAGTTATTGGTTGGTGGCTACTTACCATTGCCCACAGGTTGCTGCCCTGAAACGTCCTGAACTCAGCAACATGAGAAAATACAGGCAAAGAGCAGGGTCTCTGTAGATAGAGACACTAACACACACATCTAAGAGTCGTAAGTGATGATTGAGAGGGATTACTTTTGTATGAGACTAGACATGTAAGGTTTGTTTGTTTTTTCAAAGAGAAAACTTACTCATTCTGCCTTTAACTTCTCTGCTGCCAGCAGATGACTGCAGGATTATCTGGGCTGCATTACAAAAAATTCACTGTGTTTTTTCACTGCGCATAAAAATATATTGAAACAAGATGCCTTAGTCTAGAAATTAAGCTGCTTTCTACAGAAATAAAGCATTGTAAATTTACATTACATCAATAATTGATATGATGAATGCTTTAAGGCTTTAATAGGGAAAAAACAGCAGCACAAGAAGGTGAATTTATCAACTACCATCTTGCAGCAATATTGTTTCGTTTTTTTGTTGTTTTTTGATAATATGTCTTTAGAAGGGGAGACAAGTTAGAACTGCCATTACAAATGGATGTTATCAAATTGAGTTTAATGCCTCAAGTCCACTGATCCAGAAATGTTCATCCACATACTCAGAACGTTTGTTTTGAGTGTCAGTATGCAAACAAAACACGCATCCAGTATTGTTTGTAAAGTATTGCAGTTCTAATAAGCTCGTACATTATTAAAACGTCTTTCCATAAACACAATTTACTGTACTTCTGAATGTACATAGTGGCAGGTGTATATAGCTCTTAGGTGTGCGTCTGCACTTGAATATTAATTCTCAGCAGCAGACCAGAATGTGTGTTGAAAATACACTTAAGACGTTCCGACTTTATAATATTGCCTCCTCCAGGAAATAGAGATACTTGCACATGAATGTCATGTCAGCAGATGCCTTAGATGTCTCTCTACTGTGACTTTAGTGAGGGGTCTTATCTGTTTGTTCATCAGTCATTGTTAAAACTGTACACGTGGTGTGGTGTTGGATTTGAGCTCAAAGTGATGGCTGCTGGAGCTAATGATACCATGTTATTACATTGTCATGGTGTATGAAGATTTTTCTTTTGTGTTTTTTCTTCTTTTTTTTTAATGTTACAGGCTTCTGTCAGAGTTTTTCTGTTTTCAGGTAAAAAGTATTCAAAAGCCTCTGTCATGAGTAATGCTTCTCAGAAATGCTGGTCGATATAAGAACAGTGTTTTTTACTGTAAGCAAGAAGTTGCGTTGGGTCTGTTGGCGACTTGAGATGATTTCATACATGGATCTTGTCGTTTTCTGCTTATTATTTTGCAGTGGACTGTCTTAAGAATGAGTGAAATGAGTATCAGTTGGACAGTGCTCCTGTTTTGTGCTATGTTGGACAATTTGAAAAAAGAAACATGAGGACATTGGTTCCAATTAGTCAGGTGGCGCAGTTTTTATCAGATAGCGTCTGGGCTTCAGGCCCTATAGCTTCAAGAAGCAGACAATATGCAACGAAAGGATATATTCATGTTGTTAACTGTTTTGAACAAGTTGCAACCTTACTTGAGGCTTCCGGTCTCAACTAAAAAGTTAGACGTAGACAGAGGATGATGAGACTATCAGTCAACATACCCGCAATGCTGGATATGTGTCCCGTTTCCCCTCTCTAGGGATCACTACAGTACTCTGTGTGCTGTATGTATTAATAGACCATGGTGCTGATCTAACCTTAGTCTCTCTTTACTGTATGCAGTTGTGTTAGTTACTTCATGGTGGCAGGTAGCCTTACAGAGAAATGAAACATGAGCTTTGATTGAACAGTAATTCAAGTCATCTTAAAAATATCTCAGCAATGAATCTGTCTTTTTTTCCAAATCTCTTAAATGTTACCTCAGAAATAAGGCGGTACCACACCACAAGCTAACTCCTCTTGATGTAGCTATACATAAGCTAGCTAGTTTGCTAATGTTTTGCTAACTTTAGCTAACTCAAGATGTGACTATATTTATTGTAATGTGTCCGTGAAGATTGTGACAGTCTCTCAGCCCCATCTTTTAACCAGCTTCAAAATTTGGTTGGTTCTTTTCAACATAGATGAGCCTAGCACATAGCATATCTAAGTATTACAAAAAAGGGAAAAAGTGACCAAGGTTTTGCTGTTGTCCAAGCCTTTTTAACTGTTAGTGGAGCACAGAGTGGAAATGGGCAGAACTTTGGAAGGGCTTATTCATGGCTGTCATTAATTGTACTATAACCATGAAATACACTCTAACTTGTTAGCTGCCTCTCTGTATAGTGGTTCACATTACCATCCCTGTGCTTGATTTAAAATTTTGTAGGCTACACATGCACAAAAGATATTCAGAAAATGATGCATGTATGTACTGGATGACATTTAGAAACTGAGCTAGCACAGGTGCACATTGCATATAATTTGATTTCATGTAATTTTAGTTATAATTAAGACATCAAATTTTCAGCATTTCCATCACATCACTAAGAATCAAACTCTAAGACCTTAATGTTACCACTGGTAACCACAGGTGGATTAGGATTATGTTCAAATACAGTATACCATGATGCTGTATATGTGGTCAGGTGCTGCAAAAATAGAGGATTTGGTTTGAAAGTGAAGGTAAGCAGTGTGTGAGCCTTTTTTCTTTGTTGCTTAAGTAGAAGGGCACTGGCACAAAATCTAAAATACAGTGCCTATATGTCTACAAAACTGGACCAGACCAGCACTGACGAGATGGATTTAATTTTATTGCAACCAACCGGAGCTGATAATCTGATCTTTGCTTTGGTAAATCTGAATGACAAACAAGCCTGATGTTGCTGTTGAGGGAAAATGACCTGTATTACTTGAAGTTTGTAATTTGCAACCCCTCCCTCTCTCCTCAAACTGTGATTATTACTCCTTACAGTCTAACTCATGACATGAGGCTTTTGAATGCAGTTACCAGTATTTATGTGAAATCATCAAATTTTTATGGTTCATGTCACATATGTAATGTTTCCTGCTGTTCTTTTTTCTTTCCCTCTGTGAATTATCATCCTCCCTCTTGCATGCATATTTTGTATGATTTGAAAAATGTATTTTTAATCCCATGTAATAATTTGATTTGACTACCTTCCATATGTCTTTATTCATGTTGATTTGTGTCTTGGACATAAATTTTACTTGTGACATGGAAATTGCATATAAATGTATATCACTACCATTGCGATTTGGTGACCTTGGAATTGTAAGGTTTTCTAATGTTTGAGTCGGGTAATATTTATTATACACTGTTTTGCAAGAGGATATTATGGCCAAAGATGAATTCCTGAATAAGTTTCTGAAAATGCAAATTTAAAAGATTAGAAAGTTGTTACATGGTTGTAAAATTTATAACCAAAAACATCCCCAAGCATACAGTTGATGAAGCCAAACAGTTCCAAGATCATGACTGTCAAACTTCTCTGTGTTTTGATTTTTTTTTCTCAGTTCATATGGTTGTAATTCTGTATGTAAAGTCTCCATAAACTTCATTAACTGTCCTGTCTGCTTGTCCTCCTTCAGTATTCTTAGCAAATACAGTGTCTTAGGCTGTGATGGACTTGCAGACATGACAGTGAAAGCAATGTTATGATTTTTTTTTTAGCTTTTGTGTCCCTTGTATAAAATCTAATAAAGCAATGTAAAATATCATCTTATTTCTCTGCGCCCATAACTGTTCTTTAACAATAACAACCACAGTCACTGTCACTTCAGTAGTTGGACAGAAACTTTTAAAGAGGCATCCTTCTGCATACCTAAAGGACCACTCCAGATTCCAAGTTCCCATTTCGGCGCCGGCAACAGCAATGGCCGGGTGCATTATGCTTTCAGGTTTCCATATGTCCTTATTTATGTACATCCATCCCTGCGTCCCATTCTCATAAGTGCAGTATCCCAGAAAGACCTTTAGGGAATTTTGAGGGTATTAAAAGGTCACGATGACCTCACATAACAAGTTTCTGGCCATAACTTTTGATTTTATGCACAAAATATGACAAAATTTCACTGTACTTAGGTGTTTCTAATAGGATAAAATGATGATGTGATGATATTGTTTGTCCAAAAGGTCAAAGGTCAACTTCCGAATTCAAGACTAATCATGAGCAGTGGATATGGTCACCACTATCTGTGAAACAAACTCAAGCCATTAAATTCAAAGGTGGCTGCGTGTCACATGTAAACAGGTGGTGTTATTCTTGAATACAAGTGAAGTAAAGGTGAAAGTAGGACATGTTTTCACTCAGGTTGTTTATGTACTAAACCGCCCTCCCACAAACTGTTACCAACAGGTGACTAAAGTGCTACATTGCTCATTTCTGTCATGTCGTGTAACGCAGTCACGATCAAAGTCATACTTTTCCAGTTTTACAGCATTTTACTGTTCAAACAATCCAATGTCAACATGTTTTGTTGCTGACAAGTTATCATTTGGAATGTATTTTTCACTTTTGGTGCAAAAACAGGCTCTACATACATGCCATGTATGTACCACAGGTATTATGTCATATACAGCCGAAACTTTTTCAAAATAACCATGTGTAAATCAATTACTCACCACATATTAAGTTGAATTATGAAGAAAATGTTTCTTACATGCCCTCATATTGAACAGAGAATCCAGAAAAGGTGAAAATGAATTGAAGTCATCAGGGGCTACGTTTAGAGCAGAACTATATCAAGACATCATTTTATAAACTCTTACACCACTCCTGTAGAATTGAAGTCTCAATTGTCCAGTCATCTGATCTGTACTTCAAACACATGCGTTTTTGCTAAAACTTAATACTTGACTTGAGCGTGCCTATGATCTCCATTTGTGCGGGGTTCAAGTACATGTGTGTGCTCAGGCACATTACTCGGCCTTGAGTAAGACTTTTTATACTGATGTGTTTTAAATGGTATTATTTTAGTGAAAATGCATGTTTTTGGAACAGATGTTTTGATATATAGTTTTGCTGTTGTTAGACATGGTCACCGTTTACTTTAATTCATGAATAATGTTCATCTTTTTTGGATTCTCCATTTACTGTGGAGGCATGCGGCAAACAAATTCAAGGTGACATGCAGTGAGTAATTAATATAAAAATGGTCATTTTGCAGATTAAGTATTCCTTTAAAGGGTTTTAATATTTCCAACTAACATGACTTGTAGTGGTCATGTCAAGAACAGACACCATTGATTATGTGCCTGATCACTTTTTTTTTTCTTTTTTTTTTCAATTTGAATACATTTGTTCCCTGAACAGAAAAGGCTTTTCTTGAAAGGGCACCTTGTAATTCCTAATAAATGTATAATGTAGATGAAATCTGACTTAAGTGAGCCACAACCCCTGAGAGGTTTCACCACGTCACCTACATTATGGTCACCTTAAGAGTCGTGGTAATGACCCTATTCAAATTAAACATCATGAGTTTGGATGCAAATACTGGCTGTTATTTATCAGTGGCTGCAGACAGTCTGAACAATTACTGAGAGTTTTAACATGATGGGAAACCACAACCCAATCTAAGAAATGGAATATTATAAACTGTAATTGCCTGATATGTAAAGATTTAGATTCAAGTGGTCTGAGCACATTTGAAGGTTAACTAAAGAGTTAACTTAAAGAGTGGCCCGCAATCCAAAAGTTCCACTCTTGATGGGATCACTTCAACTGGGATACAGCGATCTGCCATTTAAAGGCAAAAAATAGGGGGGCCAGTGGCCACTTCGTAACTTCCTGTCCCACTACGTCCAGCCCCCCTGCTTGGACCATGGCATCTTTAAACTTTGCCTATATTTTGATCTCAACTACACGTTTTCGTGACTGCATCTTGTACGGTTGTAATGTTGTCACATTGAACAAATTTGTCCAAAGACAGACAGACATAGGTGGCAAAGTACTCACAGCTTCTGTGGTAGTTCCTGCTACAATTGATGTCTTCAGGACCACATTTTGCCATGATGACAAACTGCGCCCAGCTGTTGCAACGTGGCTGGTAAAAAGTAGGTCAGCACTCCACTTCCTTATAAGTGTCTTGGTCCAACATTCTGTGGAGAGGACAAAAAAACTTTCCTAAATCTGACATAATCAAAGCTTTTGTGCATTCCTGAGCAAAATTATAAAATTATTTATAGAGAAAAAACCAGGCACAATTAATTAACTATAACCTCACCCTCAGTTGAACCAAAATTCTAAAATAGAGGTATGTGAGAATGAAGTCTCATGCTTCTGACGCTGTGTGTGTCTGTGTCTCTTAAGCTTCCTGACATGTTTTCACTGTCTGAATTTGTTTCTAAAGCAGCGAGGGCGTCTTCATGAGCCTTACTGGATCGCAGTGAAATGAGGCCCAATATCTGTGGTTCCCTCTGTCTCTCATGCATGCTTAAGCTTGTCATCATCTTCTGTGAGATTTGAGGTGCTTTTCTTAACTACTGTGCTGTTTTAGTTTCAGCTTGGCTTTTGAGAGTTGTAAGTGGTGAATTCTGGATACATTATTGGGTGTTACATTTCCTGCATGAGTTGAAATATTGGCTATCTGTGTTGTTAGTGTTGTGGTCCTTGCGGTGGTGAAGCTTGAACCTTTGACCCGTTGTTACAAAAAACACTTACTCCTGCTTGCATTTCTTAAATATATATATATATGTATGTATATATATAAAAATTTTGACAAATCCCATTTTAGTGAATAGAAATCTCTTTTTAATACAAATTCTCAAATTTTCAGACCATCGCACCGTAACAATGTAATTTATTTGTTTGGATACTAGCCTGTATGGCTACTATGTATTCTTATTCACATTGTCAATGTTTCTTAATATGTTTCAACTCCTGAAGTTTTGTTTATAGGAAATGATTGATTCCTGTTTGATGGTAAGTCTCAATTGATGCAGGGATCTGTCAGAGCCATGGTACTGTATGTTGTTGTTATATTTGAGTAGATGTAGCTTTGTCTGCAGTAGTAGTCAACTGAGGTGAATTCTCTTTCATAAGTAGCCATCATTCTTTTCAAAGCTTAGAGATTGTCATTGGTTAGTAATATCCATCTTAAAGATGAAGTATACATTTTTCTGATTGAATCCCATGAAAAGACCAGAATCATCAATGAATTGATCTTACTAACAAGTAATGGCTGTGTATCCATAGAGCTCCGTTGTCCAGAAACTTTTAAAAACATACCAGTGAGTCACACTGTTTCACTGAGTGACATGTTCCTTAACATGAGCACACACACACACTGTAGATTATTTTAACTCAATCCCACACACACACCATCCTGCTTCCCCAACTACTCACTCGATACCAGATGTGTATTAATCCACTGCTGAAAATAGTCCCTTTTACTCCTGAGTAGGATCAAATGTGTTCAGGACTGAGTACCACAGACAGGGTGGGGATGGACATCAACATTGTTGTTTATGGTTTTTTCATTGGATCTGTTGACAGCAAGAAACTATTAAACTATTGAATAACACCAACCTCATGCTTTACGTTTAATATGGGAATACATTACACTGAAACTGAATTCCACTCAGTGCTGCTTAGAAACTAAATGTGTGACACCAGTCATATATGCAGCCATTAATGTTTTATACCCACTAGTTCCTCAGCAAAATAGTGATAACATTTGGTAGTATTTCTTATAGTTGCTGGAGTTGGAGTAGAAGTAGTAAAAATAGGATGTGTTTGTGGTCCTTCTGCAAATGTTCTTTCTCTTTGTCCGTCTCTGTCCACAGGTCAAGTCTGTCATCAACCTGCTGTTTGCTGCCTACACAGGAGATGTCTCCGCACTGAGGAGGTGAACAGCGCACACTCTTTTTTTTATTTACTAATTTGTAATATCAGCCACAGAAGAAATGTTTAGGCTTATTTCACTTTTGTCACCTAGTGGAATCCCTTCCTAAAACATAAACTGTGTGTTATTCTTTCGCTTTCAGCGAGTTAATGTGGATTCCCCTGCATGCTATGACTGTCTAGTACTCATGTTGATGCATTGAGGGCAGAAGTTCTGAGGATAAGGGCAAAAAGGTCATGGTTAGGGCTAGTACCAATTTATCTGGGATATTCTCTGAGATTGAAGTGATAAGATTATAAGGAAAAAACTCACTAATGTACTGCCAAAAAGTCAGGTGACGTAGTACAGAGCAACAAAGTCCATGTAGGGAGTAAGTATGTGGTGGATGAATTAGTTAAGCATAGACTTCCATACAGAAGACTGGGGTTTGAGTCCTGTGTTAGTCAGTATTGGCTCATTATTTTTAGTCTTAGTTGACTTATTATTTTCAGTTTGTAGGATGAAAAAACCTGCTGAATGCATACTGTGAACATAAACTTCAGCTGATGAGCTAAATAGACCTTTTTATGTTAACGTCATATTTAAACGTGGCTTGGACGCCAGTGCTCCAGAAATGCGTCCTAAAACCCAGAAATAAGTTAGCATATTAGCACTCCCGGTTCCCTTGTCTCAAAGTCAGTGAGTTTTTTGATTTGTTTTTGGTTAGATGCCTGAAATAAGTTCTGTGGTTAACACACGCTTGAGAGGTTTTCACGTTTTGTTCTACGACACAAAATATGTCAGTAAATACTCCATGTTGTGGTAGGGATGTAAAGTCATGTGACCATGGTGTAGGTCGTCTATAGCTTAATGTTAGCCTTTTACTTTTGGCGATT